GGGGGGTTTGGATCTGAAATTCACAATTCAAGGTAAAATGCCTTTGACTATATCCAAATAGAAAAGGCGCTATTATTATCATCATAATATCATTATTCATCTAATGATTATTATTTAATATTATATAATTATTTTTATTTTGTAAATTCTTTAGGCAAACAACAAAATATCAAGATATGAGGCAGCAGTTGAAGACTGTCAAACAGCTATTAAAGTTAGTTTTCCTGATATAACATAAGGCAGGAGGATGGATGGGGTCTTTAAGATCTCTGTCTTAGCATTTGCTTGTATGCACTAAATGTTCAAATCTAAGCCCCACACAATCACCCACTTTATGGTTTTTCTCTTATCATGCAGATTGATAAAAATTGTGTTAAAGCATATGTTCACATGGGAAAAGGATATTTGTACATGAAAGAGTTTGATAAGGTACGACAACATAATAATAGTGATGATGATGATGACGACGATGATGAGAATGATGATGATGACACAATTTATCTTCAATACTGTAAGAGGATAGACATGTAAAAAACTGATGTCAATAATATTTATATCTCATATTTTTTTGATAGGCTACAGACACATTTCAAAATGCAATAAAACAATTCCCAAAGAAAGAAACATTATTAAAAGGTCTGAATAACTTGTTTATCTTGGAAGTTCTATACTCACTCGACAGTGCTTTGTTTGTTTCTTAAATGTTGGCTTTTGCTTATTGTTGTGTAATATGCATTTTGAATATCTTTCTAGGCTATCTACAAGAGGTTGATATGGAAAGAACTAAACTGTTAGAAGAATCCAAGGTATCTGATAGAGTTTTAGCTTTATTTATAGGAAATTTTGTAAATTATATATTTGAATATTATAAATCCTTTATTTGATAATAAATCCTTTATTTAGTGGCACTAAATAGCAAAAACTATGCTAATAAAACTTTTGGTTCTAAATATTCACATAGTTCATAGTTAAACTCATCGTTAATGATGAGCTTGGCGTTAGGTGCTTATTCGGTGGAATGGGCGGAGCCAGGCACAAATTAGTGGTAACCATGGTCACCCTGTCACCACCCACCGAACACCTGTCACATTGACCGCGATCAGTCAATGGAATACTTACCTCTACTTACCTGTACCAGTGGTAGGGATGGCGGGCGGGAAAATTAAACTCGTGTTGTAGCGTAATAGCGTAATAGCATCGTATAGCGAGTGCTAGCAATAGCGATGGCAAGTAAAGGTTCGCGTGGTTGGCATTAAGCTAGCATGATGACGTGTGTAGCGTCTTATCGTATTTCGTAATGATAGCTATGATCCATATCTCAGACAGGCCACAGAGATCGACTAGAATAGATTGCGACATGCTATAAACAACTTGCTAGCTGAGTCGATCAACAATAGCGTGAGGTAATAAATGCGTTGACAGCAGAAGATAGCGGTATGCGTCGGGACAGCGTTACTGCGAGATGTCATTGACCTCGAGTCTAACTTTGCCTAAATTACATTTAACCACATCATACATTGATTATGTTTACTTTCTTTAATATTTACCAGGCTATCAAATTGATACAAGATAATAATGAAGAGGATCATATTATTAAATCATCAATAGAGATTTTACTTTGCCCAGGACAGACTGTCAATCATTATTCTGAAGCTGCCTTGAAATTACTAAATCTAATACATAATTGTGAGTATAACAAGACTTTTTGAAAATGTTATATTTAGTGATAACAGGTAGTAATAATGATGATGGTTAGGGTGGGTTATAATGATGATTTTAATCTTGGTGGTATCACAGTAGTTAACAGTAGTCTGGGTTTCTATTTAAGGATGAGCATGTGTCTGTACTGTGATATAAACATCCTGGGAGCTGTAGAGCATGAGAGAAGCAAGCTTAGGAACACAAGGCATAACTGAGTGTTTCTTTAATGCCTCTCTCTTGCTTTACGACTCCCAGAGACATAAGCACAGCTGTTTTATATTGCTTTTATCAAATATTTTTGGGCAATTTTGTGCATGAGTTTGTCTCTGTCCTTTGATATAAACACAGTAGCCAGCCAATCAGTGTTAAAATTCATAGACAAAGATTTTATAATTGTTTTTATGTCATGTGTTATTACAGCCACTGCAAACAAAACTTCATTCCGAATTCACAAAGGATTTGATATTTACGACAAGGATGATACATCAATTAGCAGGTAGGCATAATGAAACATGCCTTTTAAAGTAGCTACAAATAGTCCCTTTCACAGTTCCCTATGCCATCTTGAAAGGTAGCCATGCCTTTCCATCGAAGCGAGATGAACAATAAGCTTGCAATGATAGAGACATTGAGAATAATTGTCCAAGATGTTTTAAAAAGGTCTCTATCATTGCAAGCTCACTGTTCCTCTCACTGTGAAGCAAAGACACGGCTACCTTTCAAGATGGCGCAGGGAACCGTGAAGGAGACTACTGCATATATAAGTTTTGACTGAGGGTTACAGAAAGACATGATTCATTCACTTTTAATTCCATAGATTTTGATTCTAAGATCTTTCATTGATGGAATTTTTCCAGATTTTGGTATGGAACCGATCCTTGTGAAGACAAGGAAGACATTGCAATGTTCTGTCTAGTAATAGACATACTGAATGAGGCAATGACAGATAATGGTATGATATGATATGAATCAAGGAAACAAAATGTCAAACAATACAGTTAGTTATTTGTTCGTCAGTCATGCATGTCAATAAGTACAAATTTCCAACCATGATACAAAATTTTGACATGTATAAATTGCATTGTAAAAAAAGTGAAACAATTTGAATTTGATTACTAGTCATTCTAAGGATGAGAGAAAAACCAAGTCAAGTTGGTATTGCAGTGCATTCTGGGACTGTTTTAAAGGACAAAATAGATGCCATCTCGGAAATAAGTCCACTGCCAGTTCACTGCAATGCCGACTCCACCTAGATTTTCTTCAACCTCAGAATGGCTAATTTTTCTTTTCTATTTGATTTTTTAAAAAAGTGGTAAGAGAAATGTTTGTTTGTTTGGCTTGTAGAATACAATGTACAGGCATTTGTATCTGTAGACCACAGCAGATCATTTATGTCTCTTCTTCAAGAACCTACATCACCAGTTATTATAACATCCATGATTCATCTAGTTTATCTTCTCTCACAAACAACTAATGGAAGAAAAGGACTCATGAGCTTTGAAAGCATGACAAGGTACTAGTAATCCTACTAAGTAGCCAGATAAGTAATGAGGGGAATGATGGTGGTGGTGGTGGTGGTGGTGGTGGTGGTTGACTGATGATGATAATGGTGGTGGTAGTGGTGGTGGTGATGTTGGTGTGTTTTGTTGATGATCTTGGTGGTGTGATGTTGGTGGTGAGGCCATGAGGATGTTGGCGGTGTATGATGAAGATGGTGATGGTATGATGCTTATGGTGATAGGGATAGTGATGATGGTGATAGTGATGATGGTAGGTTGAGAGTTGTGTGATGATGTTGATAGTGGTGATATAGATGATGGAAGTGTTTGATGAGAGTGTGATATGGTAGAGATTGTGGGGGCTTGGGTGGGGGCTGTGATGATAATAAGCTAAAAGGGATGATAATACTAGCTATGTCAATGATGGACGATAGCCATGCTGGTAGTGGTGACATAGTGATGATGATAAGACTGTTGTTGGTGTGAATGATGATGATGATGAT